CATGGAACTTTGTAACAATATACAATGACTAACAGTTAAATAGGTACCATAACAGATGGAACTTTGTAACAATATACAATAACCAATAGTTATATAAGCACCATAACAGACTGAGGTTTGTACTGATATACACTGACTAATAGATGGAACTTTGTGAGATTATGCCCCGACTAGCAGTTACTAATGGCTTCATCTTTTATCTTGTTGTGGTCTTCACACCATAACAAATGAGAGTTTGTAATACTAATAAGTGCAGCAACTTGTTCCTATTACCACAGGTCTATGACCATAACGTATCAAAGTTTATATCATATTTAGGTACTACCACTTTATCTAACTCTGTAACATAGTATATATATATATAAAAAACCTGTACTTCTAGGAAGCAGTTAGATAATAACTACATTAGCGTACTCTACTTTTATTTCAGTGACATAAGGTAACAAATGTAATAGACTAGCAGTTAGTTTAAATACATGTCTACAATCTGTAGAACAGCTTCCTAAACCCAAAGTAAAATTATAAATCGTAAAGACTTTCAGATATTCTGTGTATCTTACCTTGGTATGACCCACGATTCACCAAGGCTGTACCATATGTCTCTTTCTTTTGGGGAGCAGCAATTGTCCAGAAGATCTACAGCATCAGAAGTCAAGAGTGGTGTGACAACTTGTGGAGGTAGACTGGACGAAGTCTGTTGAACTGCTTCCATAACAATTACCAAAGGAGTAAATAAAAATCGAGCCAGTTCTGGTGCACCAGGATCGTGAATGTGGTTTTTCAGTTTGGCCTGTAAAATTAAGTAGTACATCAGTTCTGAAGAATTAGGATCTTGAATGTGGTTATTGTTTATTATTTTGTTAAAAGCACCAAGAGATAAGAAAATTTGTTGAATGGCTCTTTGGGTCACAAAGTTCTCTTCCACTTCGTAGGTGAGGACATTACTCTGGTATGGATTTGTGCATAGTCTTGGAGCCTGTTGTTGTAAGTGCTTTTCTGTTCCACATTTTATTCTTACATTCTACATAATTTAAAAATCTTATTATACAAATATCCTTCCTCTTAAAGGGCTTTGACAATTACTTCAACCATAATCCTACCTACAGTGATATTGTACCATCAAATGGTGGAAAAGTAAATGGCTTCACTCCAACCATAATTCTACCTACAGTGATATTGTACCATCAAATGGTAGAAAAGTAAATGGCTTCACTCCAACCATAATACTACCTACAGTGACATTGTACCATCAAATGGTAGGAAAGTAAATGGCTTCACTCTAGCCATAATCCTACCTACAGTTATATTGTACCATCAAATGGTAGGAAAGTAAATGTATAGGTGTAAAACATGTTGCTTGTAGAGTAACAGCTTGCTGTTATATGAGCATGTACATATCATTCTTATAAAGTGTGATTAAGTTCAGTGTTTCTTTAAATCTATAAAATAAAAAAAATGTATTCAAAATTTTGCAGGTCAGTTTTAGCTTAAATAGAAGTAAAACTGGTAACTTTAGGTGTTTCTTTAATATAAAATTTACATTAGGTTATTAAGAGCATGGTCACATGAAACCAAATACTTTGTGAACAATGACAAACAACACTCTCACTTATACAATTTAAAACTAGCTAGTTTTCAGTGTTGTTACTGTCTATTGTAGAACAATGACAAACAACACTCCCACTTTACACAATTTAAAACTAGCTAGTTTTCAGTGTTGTTACTGTCTATTGTAGAACAATGACAAGCAACACTCCCACTTACACAATTTAAAACTAGCTAGTTTTCAGTGTTGTTACTGTCTATTGTGAACAATGACAAACAACACTCCCAGTTTACACAATTTTTGTTTGTCATTGTTCTACAATAGACAGTAACAACACTGAAAACTAGCTAGTTTTCACTCCCACTTT